ACGGGTACAGCCCTGGGCCGGCCGGCGTGGTGGACCGAGCGCTGGCTCGGGAGACGGCAGCTTTCAGGCCGGGGAAGGGAACAGACCGCCACCCTGAGCAGGCGCTGGGCAGTCCGAGAACAGATGCTGCGGCACTTTGTTTGGTTTAAAAAGGCAGTGGAAGCTGTAATGCCTTTTAAACAACTGTCACTAAGAGCATTTGTAAATGGGATTTCAGTGAGTCAACCTTAATTTGCCAGAAAAACTAGCTTCCCTGACTTACTCCTCGAGGATTCCAGATTGTGGACGGTTCAACAGAGTATGGGCTAAGCTGTGTCTTTAGCTCAATCATTTCCAGAACTCTGAGAATCCCAGAGTCACACCCCCCTCACCCTTGACTGCTTGTTCTTCTTACGTTCTCCTTTGGGCTGCACGGGTGTCCCTTCCCTTGGTGTGAGGCTCGGCTGTCCCTGCGCTGCAGGCATCCGGCGGCGCGGTCGCTGGGGAGCGGAGGGGCTCTGACCTGCTACACTCTCTCTGGAGATCGTTTCTTCAGTGTGGAAAAGGCAGACGCAGGACCTTCGGGGTCTCTGCTCACACCATTCAGTATCGCCGGTGAGACATTCCCAGTAACTGATTTAACTGATTCTCCAGCTGGTTTGCTGAAGCCATTTCGCTTGTTAAGTCTCCACAAACTGCAAAGCCCATGACCATGGCTGTCTATAAAGACACCATCTCTCTATAAAATAAACGCCGCCAATAAGCAGTAACAGAGAAGTAATTAACACATGAACGCGTACCGTGTGTCAGGCAGGACACCGGAGGGCGTATGCTGCGTTACCCCACGCGGCAGACGAGGAGGGGCACCAGCCGGCCGGATCTGAACCCCGTCTGCATCCCGGCCTGCACCGGCCACTCGCACGGTGCTGTCTCCTCTTACATCTTGTTCTTACACACCAGCTCGTAACAGCCTTTCAACCCTGACAAATACTCACAGAACTCAGAAAAGACAGAAAAGACAAAAATCTAGGTGCAGGAGTCCAGTATAGGAGTTGGAACCTGCTTGTCTGACTCAGTGTGAGGTGAAAGTGAACAGTCTCACGCCGAAACGCAGACCTCGCTGCTCATTGAGGAACGCGTGGAAGAGCAGGCCAGGACTCGGGTGCTCACGCGGAGCTCCCTGAGCTCGCGAAGCAAGTGCGGGGGAGAGAATCACAGCTCACCACCCACGCCGCAGAGGACAGAAGTGTCTCACACTGAGCAGGGCGCAGCATCCAAACACCAGGAGGGCACCCAGAGCACCGCGCAGCCTGCTCACATGCGGCCGCGGGCGGGCGCGGAGGGAGGCAGGGGCGCGGCGGCCCAAGGAGTGTGTGGGGTGGAGATGATTTCTCCCAGAGGAGGAGGTTCACACCCGCTGGCAAAGGGGGCACTGTGGACCCCGGGGCGCCATTCTCACTCCTGAAATAGCGCTATACAGAGATGCATCTTGTGTGTGTCATGACCTTGGTCCATCCATCTGTGTTTTACATCTCCTTAGACTTACGCAGCAAGACAGGGATGATCTCACAGCCCATACACAACTCCACAATGCGCCTTTCCACACAAGTAAGGAAAGGCCCTGAAGGCAATGGGATGTCTCTCCTCCAAAGGCTACAGAAGAAGGACTCTGGGGCTGTCCTGGACCATGCATCTCCACTGAAGGAGGCTAAATGGGCTGTGAACTGACTGGGAGGCTTAAGTCAAACTCATGATGAACGCTCATTCAATAAGAGCAACCACATGCCGGGGGCCGGTGGTTCAAGCCTGCAATCCTAGCTTCTCAGGAGGCTGAGATCTGAGGATCTCAGTTCAAAGCCAGCCCGGGCAGGAAGGTTTGTGAGACTCTTATCTCCAATAAACCACCAGAAAACTGAAAGTGGCGCTGTGGCTCAAGTGGTAGAGCGCTCGCTTTGAACTGAAGAGCTGAG